CATAACAAGGAGAGTTCTTTCCTTGAAAAGCCTATTTCCAAAGCCTACAGTAGGGATTGCAAATTCAGATGCCTCGGGGGCCAGACAAGCGTGTAACTGAGTCAAGTGAACAGAAGCAAAAATACAGGGAATGGTGCAGACAAGGACAGCCAAGAGAGGTACACTCTTGATAATATGATAATTTAACTTTTATGATAGACTGCTATGGCTAAACTAACCAAATCTGCTGGCCACATCCATCCCATATGCTGCCAGTTGGCAACCTGCAGTCTGGGACAGAAAAAACATTTTTCTGGAAGCAAATTCCGAAGTTGGCTATGTTCATGAATCACTACCTGTCAGGATAAACATAAACCCTTTCTTTTTAAAAAAGAAAGCTCGGAACAGCAACAAAGAAATGGAAGCTAAAAAAAGAAGCAGGTATAAAAAGTGTGATGTAAGGCTTTGCTATCGGTGTGTACGTTTAGGGCAGTGGCTTTTACATAGAGGATGGAGCTCTGAGCTACTGGTTTGTTTTTTTTTTTTTTTTTTTTTATTCTTATGTTAATCCCCATACATTTCTGAGCTACTGTTTTAAAGGATGCTTGGTGTCCTGCAAAAGCAGCACAACTCAGCTCACAACAGGCACTGATGTTTTCCTTTGTGTACCTGACCCCAAGATGCAACCCCCCCCACCCGACCTTCTACCTGACTCAGGCCCCTGCTGTTTCCCTTTGAATATTTCTGAGCACAGTGTATATACTGACCAGTTTTATAGTAGGAAAAAAAGGAATATTTTGATGATATTTGTCAATGTCTACCCTGGGGAATATAATATCAGTGAATCACGTATATTGGTTTAAACATAATATATAGAAACAATGATAAGAATAATAGCAAACATTTATTGAGCAACTACTATGTGCCTGGTACGACATAAGGCTCTTTACAACAATTAACTCATTTAATCCTCATAGTAACTTTAAGATACTATTATTGTTCCAATTTCCATCTGAGGAAACTGAGACACAGAAGGTTACTTGCCCAAGGTTGCAGCTGGCAAATGGCAGCTGATAAACTGGGATTCATACAGAACCAGTGTGGCTCTGTCCTGTGCTTATAGTTTGTCTGAACATGAATCTGCTTTCCTAAGCAGGCTGACTGTAATTTTCAAATAATAGAAATCCTTCAGTGATCATAAAATTTGATCACTGCTGAGCTTTCAAAGGTGTATTGGTTGTTGCTTATGAGGTGCAAGCTAATGCATAAATGAACAAAAAAACCATATAGGAAAGCCATTATTTCTAAGGCATTAAAGATAAATTCAGAATGTTGTTCGTAGCATATATTCTGGAAATGCTAAAGAGGGTTTGGAGAAAAGTATGTCCAGGTGGCATATTTCTAAGAGTGACATCTGATGATTTTGGAGAAGGGGCTTAACCTAGTTTTGGAGTAATGTCCAAATACTCGCTTTTAAACCAATGAGGGAGGCTTCTTCATATTCTTCCACCAAACTCAGTATGATTGAAATTGGAGAGTGGGTATCCATGACAAGTTCATGCACAGATACTACTTAAATTCTGCTGAAAATTCAAGGGGCGATAGCGGTAAGTAATATATTCTACCACTACTGCCCAGTCAGACGTTCAGCTTTTGGGAAGCCTTAAATTAGTCTGGATTATTTTTTAAATGCAATTTTCTAATTTCAGAGATCTGTTACATGAAACCCAGACAGACACAAAGGAACTTACGTGAAAGCAAAAAGTGTGTTGGCAAAAAAGACAAGTCTATGTTCCTTTCCATTTATCCAACTAATTCTGAGCCATCTTTGAGATCAAAGCAGAAATGTCCCTTCTGTGGGTTTGCTTTCCCTGATCTCCCTAGATGAAGTTAAACTCCTTGTCCCTGGCTTTTACATGCTCTCAAAGACACAATTTCCTCTCAAGTTAAAATTCTAGTTAATTAATTGAACTATGATTTGTTAATGCCTGTCACCTTTTCTAGTCCACATTAACAGTTGACACTTGCTGACCACTTATCCTGTGCGACACTATTCTAGTTGTTGGCTTCTTTAAATTTTTAATTTTTTTTGAGAAAGAGAGAGAGAGCACTGGAGTGAGCTACCAGAGAGGGTTAGATGCTTAACTGACTGAGCCACCCAGGCGCCCCTATTGTAGTTGTTTTAGATGCACCATCCACTGAATCCATATATCTCCTCTCAATGCACATCTTATTCTCCATATTTCCATTGCTATCAGTCAGTAAAGGACAGAGCCAAGATTTGAACCTCTGGAGTTTGTGCTTCTAATTACTGGCTTATTATGCTTCTGTATAAGCTCCAGAACAGCACCTAGCAAAGTGCTGAATCCCAGGAGATTAATAAGTTTGGGGGAATAAGTGAATGAATGAATGCAGGGAGGACAGACTAGTTCTTCCTTGGCTAAGTCACAAGTTGCCCAGGAGAGTGCTGCATGCTTTTTTCTTATAAGTTTGGTGGGTAGAGGGACCCAACAATTTACAAATAAAATCTGAGCCTCTGGGAGTCCTCTCATCACTCCCATCCTCCCTGATGGTCAGCTGTTGGAAAACGTTTATTTTTCCTTTATGACTCCTGAGGATTCCTGAATAGAGCCTGCCAAGAAATCAGGACAGAACAGGGGCTCCACTCAACCAACCTCTCAACCAGTTCTGGATTCTTATGCTCAGGATCGCTAGAGAAATGGCATCTCCTTAGTTCCTAGGGGCTGACTGGTTTACTGGTCTGGGGTTGAGGGCAGAATTAGCTGATTAGAAGGTTAAGGTATAATTGTAGGCTCAGGGTGCCTGGAGGCCACCTTTGACCATTTGCAGTTTAACTGAATTAGCGTTGGCCAGTTACAGATTTTCTGCTTGCAGAATTGCGTGCAAATTATTCTGAGTCCTGAATCTGCATTCTGTGTGTGTGCCATTTGGGATGTCAGCATTATGATTGCCTTGGAAGCAATCTAACCAGAGCCTGCTCTGGAGGCAAGGGAAAGTTTCACAAGCAGAACTGCTCCGATAGGGAACTATAATATCCTAACCCCTTTGATTTTTGAAAGATGATGTCGGTCAGGGTGATGACTTGCCCATTTCAATTTCTCTGATATTCCTCAGTCCAGCCATACCATGAACCTCCAAAGATTAATTCTCGCTCTCATTCCTTGGGGTTCACTGCATTTCAGGGGGCTGGTATTTAGAGAGAAGCCCTGGGTCCCTGGTTTCCAACCTTTTGTGCCCTCTTGTGAATTTGCTGGTGGGGATAATAATGAGTTTTCTTCAACAGCTTGTGAACAGTCGTTAAGAGTTTGCATCCTAGTATCAAAATTTGGTTTCCCAAGAAGCAGGCACTCAGTCAAGGATTTGAGTGCAAGTAGTTTTATTTGGAGGGTGGTGTCAGAAAACACCAACAAGACATGAGAAAATGAGCCAGGGAAGGAAAGGCAGTGAATGGAGGGTGAGTTATCAAGCCAGATGCCACTGTGGGCACCTGGAGTTGAAATCCACATGGAAAAAGGGAGACAGAACCCTTGCCTGCAAGATGTCTCTCCTGAGGGGTGAGAGAGCTGGGGTATTTGTGCACCGATTCTCATCAGTTATGGTCAAGGGCTGCTGCTGAGAATATGAATTTCCAAACACTCTCTGCTGGCACCAAGCTCTGTTAAAACAGCCTTCCCCAGGTTTCAGAGAAACAACTCAGGCAAAAAAAATGTAAAATCCTGCCCCATGACATGGAAAGCCTAAGGGGTATGGGAGGAGCTCTCACAATGATCCAAATCAGAGGACACTTAAGCCTGGATTCAGATCCTGGCCCCACCCATCCTAGCTGCACGATCTTGGGCAAATGTGTTAGCTTCTCTAGGATGTGAGGCCCCTTGTCTGCAAAATGTATCCTATAAAATATTAAATACATCATAGGTTGTGGTAGAGATTAAAGGAGATGATGCATATAACAAACTTAGCATAGTGCTCGCCATGTAGTAAAGGCTGAAAAATGTTAGCAGTTACATTTTAAGTATTATGGAGAGTCTTCTCTGTGTCCATATATGCAGTAGGTGCTTGGTACCAAAGTTGGGGAAAAAGAAGTAACTCCTATCTTTACAGGGCTTGTAGTCTTTGCCTAGTAAACCCCTGACTATTTCTTACCATACTAAATTACCCCTTGTCCAAGGGTGTGTCACATACTTTTATATTCCAAAACATATAGCCTAGATTTTTGACTCCAGGATGAAGCACTCCAAGGATTTGCAAAGACAAAGCAGAGCTTTTGGAAGCAATTGTAAAGTTTAGGTTTTTCTAGTAGCCAAACTTACAAAAGTAAAAACAAAGTGGTGAAATTGACTTTAATAACATATCTATTTAGTCCAGTCTGTAAAATATTGTTTCAACATGTAATCCATATACAAATTATTAAATTAGGTATTTTACATTATTTTTCTTTTTGGTACTCAGTCTTCAAAATCCAACATATATTTTATACTGACAATTTCTGCCCAGCTACATTTCACGTGCTTGGTGGCAGAGTGTGGCTCGTGGCCACCATATTGGATTGTGAAGGTCTAGTGGGCTCTGAATTCCTTTGGGAAGTAATTTCCAATGGAATATTCTGTTTTCCTCCTCATTATATATGGCACTGCTCCTTTTCATCTATGACAGTGAAGTTGGTTTGAGCTCGGGCGTCATATGAAATTGACTGTTTTTGTAATGTAATTTCACACATAGAAACCATGGTGAGATTCTTAGCAGGTGTAAAAATCTGACAAAGTTATTTCTTTAACAGCAACCTGATGGAAACTACAGCAGCTGTTCCCATTTGCGTGTTTTCCAAATCTCATTGCCAAAGCGAATTGTTGGCAGCCACAGGAGAAGTATCAACTTACCTCTTCATTTGGGAAATGAAATTAAAACCTTAGCTCATTTCTAAAAGTCACAGATTTGGTAGAAGTTAGTAGGGCAAACACATAAGCCGCTGTTAAAATATTGGTGGCTTTGGTTTTTCTCAGGTGCTGCTGCTAACATCTGCAGAAGATTTGGACTGTGCGCCTGGATTTCAGCAGAAAGTGTTCCATATCAATCAGCCAGCTCAGTTCATCGAGGACCAGGTGATTCTAAACTGTAAGCAACATCACTTGATGATTCTTTGGGCCTGTTCTCATATTTGAATTCACCAGTGTCTAAGAATGTGTCTCAGGATGTGGCATTCCCTGAGCTAAGTGTTTTCTGATCATTTTTCTTATGTCACTGCTTGACCCAGGGTGGAAGCTCTTGAATTAGAGCCTTGTCGGCTGAGAGGTGAATAAAGTGGTTGTGTATCTCTTTTGAGTATTTTATCATTGGTGAGCATTTCCTCACTGGTCCCAGAAAAGGAGACCATCAGCCTCCAATGTGAGTGCTACTCTGTGCAAAGAAAATTAAATCCATTTCCCCTGGGTAGTTCCCTGAGAGCAAAACCAATGCCTTCCCAAGGATTGTTGTTTTACTGGGATTCCTTGTGCATAGTGTTAGATGAAAATAATGATGAGAGCAGGACGTTGGCTTCTGGGAATTTTTAGTCATAGGAATTCAAAACTCCTTTTCTGAAGGCTAATAAGAGGGTCTTCAGAAAGATTCAAAACCTCTACTGGCTATTTTGTGGAGTAAACTCATATCCCCCCAAATTCCAATTAAAATATGCTCCCCTCAGATCTGTGGTTATAATCTCTTCCTATTTTTAATGCCAATATCATATTGTTTTATCTTTATGAGGGCATGGAGTGCATTGCTAAATGCATAGCAAGCATAGTTTTAGCACAGTAGAATCTAAAATTGATGGTAGACAAATAACCATTTAATTGTAAGCTCTTGAACACCATTCTTTAACATTTGGGAATGCAGAATATGAAAACAGTGGTTTAATTTGTTCAGATGCTCCCAGGTCCCTTTAGGGAAGATAACTGTGCATTTGCCCTTACGGTCTCAGGCTTGCCTTCCACGCTAACCACGTTCCTTCATTCCTTGCTCTATGGCTGGTGTGTTTAAAGAAAAGGAAAATAAGACCAAAAAAACAAAATAAAACCAGCCTGCTTGATTGGATTGTTCTTTGAGGCTAGAACACATTTGAAGAGTTGAAAGGAACACAGTAATAAAGATGCAATGCCGAGCATCAAGGGAGCTACCCAAGGTGAAGTCCATGAACATCTTGATCCAATTATACCAATGGAATCATTTTGGCAATTAGAGTCTGCAATTACAAGGTGCAGAACTGTCACAATAAGTGAATTCCAATGTGTGATTTCATGTTAATTTGATCCCTGAGTGTGACTCCTGGGTCAGGCCATCAGGAACCCTTATTTGTCTTTTGATTCTTCTATTTATCAGAATCAATATTTTCAAAGGGAACTTTAAGAGAACCATTTTTTTCTGGCTCTTCTCCCCGCTCATCTGTTTGTCTCATCTCTTCTCTTCTTCTCCTTCTCTCTCTCTGTGTCTCCCTTTTCTTTTCTTTCTTTCTTTTTTTTTGCAAGCGATTATCCCAAACAGCATCTATATTAACATGGGTAGAAATGTGAAGCCACACTGAGTATGGAAATTAATAGAGTTGGTATGCAAAGCAGGCCCATAAATGTGATTGCTTCTGTAATCTTCACGACACCAAACAGCTTTTAATTCACCGCTGAGAAGCTGGAAACAATCATACTTTGGGGGATCTTTTTAATTTAAACTAGACCATACTGTATATTCCAATATCACAGTTTTGTGTGTGTCTGTGTTTTTTTTTAATCCCCTAAGTAATTAAGTGGGTTATGGTTGTTGGTTCTGTGTAAGCTAGTAAATGCTAAATGGAACTCGGTTGATTATCAATGATAGCACGTTCAGAAAAAGGCAGTGATATGGGAATTGAGGATATTTAAAATTTTAGGTATGAATTTGTATGTAAATTGTTGGATCAGCAAAATCTGACTAGCCCCCTCTCAGTGAAACTGTAGGTTCATATGTATTACTAGGGTAAAAAATACAAAGAGTACATCTGGTCTAATGCTTTTGAGTTCATCTCAAAGCAATGAACATGGGTTGTTATGAGTTAGACCCTGCAAATAAGGTTAATTGTGCCTAAATGCAGAAGAAAATTTCCATAGCCTTGAGAATGCCTATTGAATATTGTTTGGGAAAATCTGGATTTCCAGAAGAAATAGCAATGTATTGCTCTATTCCAGAGGAAAGGAAAAGCCAGGAGTATTGAGTATTGATGAACCTACCCCCCCAGGCAACAAACATTCCCCCTACTCTCTCCCTCCCTCTCCTTCTTCCCCTTTCTTTCTGCATTTCTTTCATGCATTTTCCTAGGGTTCAACATAAGACCCTTCTTTTTTTTTTTCTTTTTCTTTTATTATTTTTTTCTTTTACTTTTTTTTTACTAACATATAAGGTATTATTTGTTTCAGGGGTACAGGTCTGTGATTCATCAGTCTTACACAATTCACGGCGCTCACCATAGCACATACCCTTCCCAATGTCCATCACCCAGACACCCATCCCACCCACCCCCCTCCCCTCCAGCAACCCTCAGTTTGTTTCCTGAGATGAAGAGTCTCTTATGGTTTGTCTCTCTCTGGTGTCATCTTGTTTCATTTTTCCCTCCCTTCCCCTATGATCCTCTGTCTTGTTTCTCAAAATCCTCATATCACTGAGATCATATGATAATTCTTTCTCTGATTGACTTATTTCATTTAGCATAATACCCTCTAGTTCCATCCACGTCACTGCAGATGGCAAGATTTTGGGGGTTTTTTGATGGCTGCATAATATTCCATTGTATATATATACCACACCTTCTTTATCCATTCATCTGTTGATGGACATCTAGGCTCTTTCCATAGTTTGGCTATTGTGGACATTGCTGCTATAAACATTGGGGTGCATGCCCCTTCGGATCACTACATTCGTATCTCTGGGGTAAATACCCAGTAGTGCAATTGCTGGGTCATAGGGTAGCTCTAGTTTCAACTTTTTGAGGAACCTCCATACTGTTTTCCAGAGTGGCTGCACCAGCTTGCATTCCCAGCAACAGTGTAGGAGGGTTCTCCTTTCTCCTCATCCTCACCAACAACTGTCATTTCCTGACTTGTTAATTTTAGCCATTCTGACTGGTGTGAGGTGGTATCTCATCGAGGTTTTGATTTGTATTTCCCTGATGCCGAGTGATGTTGAGCACTTTTTCATGTGTGTGTTGGCCATTTGGATGTCTTCTTTGCAGAAATGTCTGTTCATGAACATAAGACCCTTCTATCTCTGAAAATATGATTAACCAAGAAACCACTGAGTGGTGGGTGCTCTCAGAATGAAGGCCATATTGACACAAGGCTAATGTCTGGATGAAAATGGAGAAGAGTTAAACAGAACCAGAAAGTTTGAAAATACTTAGATACTGAGGTTGCATGCCAAGATGTGGGAAATGGTTAGAATTATTTTAGCGACATATACATACAAGCTGATGTTTTAGGTAATAAAAACGTTAAAAGACACCAGGCTAGTAACATCTCTTGGACTCCGCTTATGGCATTTGTACTTTCCAGTTTTGCTTTATCTTTGCAATATTTAAGATCTTTGGTTTCCAGTCACTATAAAGTTTTGTCTTGCGGAAGGTGTAAACATAGCATAATCAGTCAGTGGATGTCTACACTTTTCACGATTCTGTAAGGTTGTCTGAAAGTGTTATCTCTTTGCCTGACAGACACAGTATGTCTGCTCATACCCCAGACTTATATTCAACCAATTTTGGGTTCAGCTTTTAGCAGGCTATAGAAAATGTTTATTCTGTCCACGGCTTCCTGCTGTCTTTGTTCAGATAGTAATATTTCCTTTTATCCTTTTTCATCTTTCTCCTCAATTCTCAATGACTTATCTTTTTCTACTTTAACTGTTACTAATGGTCACCTCCACTCCTTTTCTTTCCCTAATATTTTATTCACTGTTCACTCCAATACATCTTTCCTTCAGTTGTTCTAAAGCCTTTTATTTTCTTCACATCCAAATAACTCTTTATTCTACTCTCCTTTCCACTAAGTAGACTTGCTTTCGTCTTTAAAAGGCCATTTTTCAACAAGCTTCTAGGATCAAAACATGGTATTCCACTATTCTTCTAATGTAACCAGGGGAGCTCTTTCATTGTATCTTTCACAGTGTGATGCAAAGCCCCCAACTCATGATAACTTGGACAAAAGTTTCCTGCCTTCATCTTAGTCTTGAAAAATGAGCTGGGAAGATGTGCTTATTCCCATTTTTTTTATGAGAAGTGCAAGAAGAAAGGGGAAGACAGCTTGGAAGGCAGAAACTCAGGGGACATCCGTTCAAGGCCTTTGGACTCAGGGCAGAATCTTTGAGGGGTTTGTGGTTGGGGATCCCTAGAGGCCTCCAACACCCAGAATTCTCTTAATGGATTAGTATTGTTGCTTCTTCTGTAACATGAAAATCATGTGATTCTGGTACCTATCATCTTGGCCCCATGAGATTTGAATAGTGATGTTGGTTACACCCTCCCAGCTGACACCTGGGCTTCAGAAGAATAAGCACCCTTGGAAAACTGACCAGCCATGCAGCTGAGGTGGAAAAGGACCAGGTGATAAGCCACTGACTATCTTGTGTTTTGCAAAATTACAGAACAGACTATTCTGCCCTGGCCATATCAGCTCAAGCACATCTTCCTAGCCTCATGGAGAGATCTATAATCGAGCTAGCTGAGGGGATCCATACTCTTGACCCTCTAGCTTATATTAATGGGAGATATCTGCAACTTCCAGAGTCCAGAAAGGACACCCCATTGGCCATCTAGGCACCATTAGACCAGCACTTTTCTACCTGTTACTGTTTATCCTTCCTGGATTACTCTTCATAGATGCCGCCCCCCCCACACACACACACAGACACAGGCACACAGAGAGAAATTGCTGCGCCTGAGTTCACCTAAAATACAACCTGTATAATTACATTTTTATTTTTTAATTTAAATTCAATTAACATATAGTGTATTATTAATTTCAGAAGTAGAATTCAGCAAATCATCAGTCTTATATAATACCCAGTGCTCATTATATCATGTGCCCTCCTTAATGTCCATCACCCAGTTACCCCATCCCACC